CACGATGAGTGATTTTTCTAAAGTGTAAAGAAACGGTTCATTCATCACTACGAGGATTCTGTTGTCTCTGAAGCTACTAATTAAATTAAATCACCTTTAAGTGTCGGGGTCTTTCTCTCTAAGGACTTCAGTGCACCAGAGGCTAAACATCAGTGACCTGTGGTTCATGTGTAATTGGGTAAAAAAAACAAAACAAGAATAACTAAATGAAGGTGCTGCAGTTGTTCATGGAGAACACCAAACCAGTCAGTAAAAATCACTTTAGCTGGTTCTACACAACCAAAACTGCAGTCTTCATAATGGCCAGCAGGGGGCGACTTGGTCTCTAGGTAAAAATGTGTTTCCACACCAGTTGGCAAGTAGTTGTTGGAGGTTGCTACTTGTTGCAAATGATGTTTAAATGACGACTATTTGCAGATAAGCCGGTGTTAATCCGTGCAAGCTTCTGCGTCCACGGCAATCGCAAGGAAGTTTTTTGAGATCGATTTTAGGCTAGCAACTGCCTGCAATCTCCAGCAACCATTTTCCAACAGGTTGCAGAGCACCCAGTGTTTAGCAAGGCGTCACCGACTGGTCTCTAAGCCTGCATGACTGGGCCTAGAGAGACCGCCACCAACCTTCTGCAATCACTCGGCAACCTGTTGTGGAAGCCTTTTCTTTAGCAACTGGTGGTTGTTACATTATCAGTCTCTAGGCCTGCGTGAACCTGGGGCCTAATGTTGAAATCAATGGAAAAATAAACTTTCAGTCCCTTTCATCTCAGTAAACACTTTCCTGATGAGTTTACAGTTTCACTCACTAGTTTTTTGTAAATTATGGTCCCCATCAGATTAAAAAAGGACTTGAGCACACAGCCTCTCAGTCAGTAAACTCTCCAACCAATGACCTCTTGTTTCTAAATGCTCAGACTCAGACAAACCTTATTCAACACTTCTGAGTATCTGACATTCAAATGTGCTTAATGTCACAGTTCTGCTGTGAAAAGCTGAGAACAAACACTTGGATTTATTTACAAAGTTCACAGCCCACCATTAGTAGCAGATTTAAAGGTTACCTACTCTGCCCAAGTAGGATAGCTTTGCATGACTGGATGATTAAAATAACACTTGTTCGACTTAAACAGTGCCTATCTGCATTTGTTTGAAATTAGATCTTTTAGTGCCACTGTTTCTTCAGATTTGTTGCCAGCTTTGAGCAGCAGGTGGGTGAGGCTGACCATGACATAAGACAGAGCCAAGACAAGACGAATCTGCCAGAAACGGTGTGTTTAGAGCTTGTAGATATGTGTTTAATATAAGCATCCATCATTATAACAGTACAAGAGAAAATAAAAGCGTAATAGGTCCCCTTTAGATATGAGAGTATGGTTCAAAAACGGTCTGGTTGTCATGCATGCATCTCTTTAAAGTCTGTGTCTTGTTGCTGTTTGTGCTTTTCACACACGGTTATATTTGCTAACACTTTCTGACAGCTGCTGCTGGAAGACATTCATCGTGTTGCTTTCATGAAAACTGACAGAAGTCGGCGAGAAGTCGAGTGACAGTTTGCTTCACTGTAAAAGAGTGTCATGTTGATTTTTTTTGACATGAACGACAAACTGCGAGCACTTCAACTGCCTTTCAGGAGCAAACTGCCGGAAACTGTGCACCGCTGCTTCCAAATTTAAACTACGTTCCTTCAGTTTTCTCTTTGAAAGCGACCTGGAGGGACATCCACAAACACCTCTCATCTCAGACACATTCCACAAAATTTGTAATGTGACCCAAACTGTTTATTTACTACTGACAGTCAGAGGTTTTTGGACAAGTGGGTATATTTCGTAGCTGGTCTCCATGCTCTTTGGACACCTTTACAAGAATTCCAGCTGTGCATTTTCTTCTGCTAATCCAATATATGGTGATTGGGTGGAGGAAAGATGGGGTACAACATGGCCATGTCACCAGTTTATAGCAC